AAAAAAAATGAAAATAAAAAAAAAAAAAAAAAAAAAACATGGCAAGACTGCCATTTCAGTAGCATCACAGTTCAAATTAACAAAGAGGCTATTTTTATGATAATTGTGTGACTAGTTCCCAGTTTACTGGAAATGGTCTGATTTTGAGAAAATGCCCCAGCCTATTGTATCAAAACCAAGGGTTAGTCTGTTCCAGTTTAAATTTGCTGGGTGGCAAACCTTTTTGCTCTTATACACCTGGGACTGTAAAGGGCTACAAATCTCACAAGACTAGGTATATATAGGATACAATGATAAATGTAGGGATAATTTAAAGAGGCTTTGGCTACGTCTACACTGGCCCCTTTTCCGGAAGGGGCATGTAAATTTCACTCGTCGTCGTAGGGAAATCCGCGGGGGATTTAAATATCCCCCGCCGCATTTAAATAAAAATGTCCGCCGCTTTTTTCCGGCTTTTAGAAAAGCCGGAAAAGAGCGTCTACACTGGCCCCCCCCCTCCGGAAAAAGCGCCCTTTTCCGGAGGATCTTATTCCTACTTCAAATAACAGATAATTTGACAAATGTTTATATATATTAGACTTCAGTAAAAAACATTTCCATAAGGCAGTTGTATTTCTAGTGTACATGGCAGGAAAATGGCTCTTATTCAACTGTACACAATGAGAAAGCTGTTATGATTGGGTTAGAAAACTGACAATGAAATGCAAAGATTCTAATACAGGCAGTCCCCGGGTTATAAGAATATTCTTACTTCAAAGTAAGAATAACAGCCTCCGGAAAAGGGCACTTTTTCCGGAGGATCGGGGCCAGTCTAGACGCTCTTTTCCGGCTTTTTTAAAAGCCGGAAAAAAGCGGCGGACATTTTTATTTAAATGCCACGGGGGATATTTAAATCCCCCGCGGATTTCCCTACGACGACTAGTGAAATTTACATGCCCCTTCCGGAAAAGGGGCCAGTGTAGACATAGCCTTTATGTTTTAAAGGGAGGGGTGAATTAGTGGAAAGGAATTAGTGAGGCAAAGTCATAAATAAATCAAAAGAGTTCATGCATTACATATTTAGCAGAAATTCAAGAAGATAAAGGGATGTTAACCACATTAATGCTTGGAAGGAGCTGACCATCCTTTGAGGCTGAGGAAGGCATTTTCACTGATCAGGCATTTTTTTTATTATACATCAATACTATTTTTGGATAGCTGGAGGGCCCTGTTCAGATGCCACAAGCTTTATAAAAAGTTGAGAGTTCAGAACTGTAAGGAATCAGAAAAGCACATTGAAATGAAAGGATGCCTCATTTTCACTATTAAATGAAATACACAAACCAGCAAATAGAAAATGCCAGGAAAGTTTGCCTAAGTGACTGGATAGTGAAAGCACAAAGAAAGCAGGCCTCAAGGTTGAATTTTTATCCAAGTCAATTAGGTGAGCGCATGCAGAAGAGGTGCTTATTCCCTAACGGAGACTAGAGATATTAAATACTGGTTACCTGAATAGTCAAGTAACCTCGGTCATTTGACTATTCTATAGTCCCCAGGGGTGAGGCTGGCAGCCAGTGTGCTCCGGCCCCACGCCACTCCATCTGGCTCCTAATACACTTTAAATGCAGAGCCATAGGGGGAGGAGGGGGCAGTAGGTCCTGGACCTGGAAGGAGCCAGGACTGAGCCAAGCTGCTGGCCAGCCAGCTAAAAAAATTACTGGCGGAGGGAGGGGGAAAAGAGGGAAACCCGTGTAGTCTATAGCATTAACCTTTAAGCTTTTGCTAATTGGTTAATCAACTACACTACTACATCCATAGTGAAGACTGGAAAAAATAGCAGGGGAGAGAAAACTGATAAGATCCTAGGGAGCTAAGCTATAAAAACAGAAAAAGGAGTGGGGAGGAATTGCAGATGTGTTGGCTGGGTCTGATGTGCATTGCTGCAAATGGTATAATGTCAGGAAAATTGGCAGCCCTATCACTGTTTCCCAGGCCTTTATGAGCTCAGGTCTCTCAGGGCAGTAACCTATGTTCCTCTCCTACACCAAGGATTTGGACACTCATTGTTATCACCTTAGCAAGTCTGTTTTTAGTTCAGCACTTGCCCTACTGTTCTCTCCCAAGGTTTACCAATATCTAGCCAGCCTTCTCAAAGCAAAGTACCGTAAATTAGCATATATAACCCATGCACGTGTATTACCCGCACCCATGCACAACCCACGGTTTTTCCTGATTGTGTAAAAAAAGTTTTAGATAACCCGTGCACGTGTATAGCCTGTGGAAAACAAATGGCAGGTACTGTTAATGAACAGCACCTGTAGTGAAGTGTTAATGAACTGCAGCTGATGACGCTGAGCAGTAAGTATGCTACAAGCCTTATTGCGGGTATATAACCCCTTTGAACCACACCATTTTACCATTTATTTATTCCTTTAGTAGTTTTAACTTGTAATGAACTTTAAAAAAAGTATTTAAAACTTCTTAAAACTTTTTAAACATGCCTAAGCGCAAATCCTACACTGCCGACTTTAAATTGTGAGTTGTGACATATGCAAAGAATAATGGAAACCGAGCAGCAGGAAGAAAATATTCTGTCAACGAAAAGTCTGTTCAGGAGTGGAGAAAGGAAGCAGCAGATTTTGCGAAATTACATCGTAGGAAAAAAAGCACGCCATGGAAAGAAAGCCAAGTAGCTATTATTCAGAATGGGTTCTGTAAACGTAAAATTCTTCCCGACGTTGACTTGTCTAGCTCTAAATCTGACTACGACAGCGATGCTGATTCGGCACCACAGACCTCAACCGTCACCAAAGCTCACCTAGCCTTGGATATGGATTTTACAGATGTTTTTCAAAACAGCAATTATGCCGAAAGTTTTGAAAACTCAGACGCTGAGGAGGATGCTGCTACCACTGATTCTAGTGATGCAGAATGAATAAACTTATGTCTTTTATGACAATGCGAGGATGGCTTTTTTTAAACTGTTTTACCATCTATTTAGTCTTTTATTAGTTTCACATTAAAGTTTTAACTTTTAATGTATTTTAACATCACTGTCGCTATTAAATTAAAATATGCTGCTTTTATCAAGTAAGAGTCAGTCTTGTCTTCCTGTAATTTTAGTAAAAAAAACCCGTGTATAACACAGACAAGTATAGCCTGCCCGGGGCGGGGGATTGTAAAACCTCACTAAAAGACAGTAATTATTAAGAAAAAAAGTATTGCAGAGAAAATATCTTTGGAAACCCTGGTAAGTGCTAAAATCCTCCAAAACCTCTCTGTAGGGTCTGGCTCTCTTGGTGAGAGTGTTATGTCAGTTCTTGCATCTAGTGAGTGGGATACCATGTGCGCCCTATCAGGTAGGACTTGATAAAAATTCTTAGTTCACTGTTTGCTGCTCTTCTTGAACCCTGTCAAAACCAGTGTACATAATTTCCCTTAAGGAAGTGGTACTTCTACAGACAAGTATATCTGTCTAGGGAATTGCCTAAATTATAAACCCCTCCCTTCCCAGTGATTTTAAGGGTTTTATTGTTCATTCATGGCATGCTTGGCATCCCTCATCCCAGTCAGTTCATGGCTTGCTCTGTTCCATGACAGCAATTAACCCCTTAACGCCCAGCAGGTAACAATACAAGGTGAGAAGAGTAGAGTAACACATTCTTTCATTTAAAAATCAGACATTTCCCAGTTCTGCACATTATATTAATCTCAATCAACAAAGTATGTTCTTCAGATCATCAGTATGGGAAATGAGTGTAAGTCGTAGCATTACTTACACACAACCAGTAGATCAGACTCATAAGACCATAACACATTTTAAAGTATAATTTCCATTGCTATGAATTCAGAAAGTGTATGAAGGAATAAAAATCAATTTCTTGTTTCAGACTCCTAAAGAGATCAACAATTGAGAGAACAGCCCAGAAAGGTCCTTGCTGTCATACGGTATGAAATGAACAAGCTTCTTAATCAGGAACAAGCAGCAGTCCTGTGGCACTTGATCTAACATGTTAGTTTCTATGAGGTTTTTGTGGGTAAAACACACTATGAGTTGGAGTGGAAGCGAAAGAATCCAGGATATATGTAACAGCAACAGCAGTTACCTGTCAATTGTAGGACCAGTGTTAATGAAGCTAATTAAGTCAGGCTGAATGTGTCCCATTCATGGCATTTGATGTGGAAATGCTAATATCAAAGGTGGGGAAAATTCCTTTGTTGTGCATTAACAAGTCAATATTTTAATTCAAGCCCAAGTTGATAAGTGTTGAACAAGTTTTTTGTGTATAAATAAGCATATGCGTATCTATATCAAATAACTGACTAGTGACTTGACTAGTCGCTTCTCCCCCACCCCCTTGCTGCCTCTATTAGAGAGGCAGCAAGGTTGTGGGGGGGAGAAGAGCAGGAGCTGGGGGGAGCTGGCTTAAAAGCAGGTTCCACCCAGCACCACCTCCGGATCCGGTCGTGGCGTGCCCCAGGGCCCCCCCCCCCACTGCACTTCAGCCTTTTAAATGTATTAACAGCCTGGCAACTTTTAATACATTTAAAAGGCAGTACCGCAACAGAGTTAGCTCCTGGAGCCGGGAGCTAACCCTGCTGCAGCTCTGCAGTCCCCTCCCTTATCAATTAATCGACTATTCAATGGAAATTCCATCAACTAGTCAATTAGCTGATTAAACACCATTTAACATCCCTGCCTTCGACATCAGGCTAGTCACAGTATGCTAACTCTTCTTTGTTTCCAGCTATTTAAGACAACCAAAATATATACTTAATATTTCAGGAAAATAGTTGCTATAGCTGTGTCAGGAATCTGATGACTATCACCAGTAGAGGTATTTCGCTTTTCCCTTCCACGAAAAAGTTTGAAAACCTTTGATCTAGGGGAGGTATAGGGAACTATTAGCATTGTCCTTATTGTAAATTGTGTACGTATTGCAGCTATTTATTATTTGAATAATTACTGAAATAATTTTATATGTGGAAGTTCAGAGAAAAGGGTTTAATAGCTGGACCTTTTTGGTACAATGTTTGGTCAACGTAATATCATAAAGCTGTTTTCTTAAAACAGTACTGCATGTGCGTCAAGTCCATATTTGTATGCAGACTTAGCCATACTTTTTGCAGCTCAGGATTTTTTGTTTTTTGGTGGTTGGTGTTTTTTTTTTTGGGGGGGGGGTTTTGCTTTCTACCAGACTTACACATTTAAACTGATCCAAAGCTCAAAGTCATTAATGGAAAGTCTCCCACTGACCTCAGTAAGCATTGGCTCAGACCAATGATTAAAAAGCATTGAAAAATCTTGTAATGTATCATCTTGACCTACAAGAAATATATTTTTACATTTTTAGTCAGTCAAAAAATTCCATGGGAGAGTGTTTCTTTTCAAGGCAGATGCTGTTGATAAATGTACCAGTTGCAACTGAGTTATCAAGTGCGCTTACGACCAAAGGGGGAAAAATCTGATTCCCACGCTGTAATTTAAATACAAGCTCTTTCTTGAATTTCAAGGCCAGATCTAGGTTACATTGACTTCAGTAAAAGTTGGTATTTTCCTTTTATGCCCAGAACCCCCTTCCCTGCTACCAGTCTCTAATCAAATCAGCCTCTCCTCTCCCTCACTCCTGTAAGTCCTGGCTGTAGTATACGGGTGTTTAATTGCAATCTTGACCCTGACTATAAACCACCTGCAGCTCTCCTGCTGTTTGTCTCCAGTCACACCCATTTATCAGATGAGGCACCATGGGTCTTTAGGGTTTGCTGCTTCTTCCTACTATCTCCCCACTCTCTGAGCTTCCTGAGTAAGAGAGGCAGACGTTTCACTTTTCCTGCCTATGGTCTATCTCCTGTAAACTTCTGTTGTGAGGCTGCACATCTACCCTGCTCTCTGGATCTGCACTTCCCACCCTGACAGTCATCCTGGTTGCTGTAGGTTGGATCTTTAGGAATTATATCTGCAGTGTTCCCTCATAGTTACGAAATTTTCTTGCAAATCAAGTTTATAGGTACTGTTTAGCAGACTTCAGTCATCAATAAACGTTAATCTTCCAGGTCCTTCATTCTTCATCCACCGCCTGTATCTCTTCCATCGTGGGTCCATGGCCATCTTCTTCTTTAGCTCTTCCTCTTGTTCTTGCTTGTAGACCTGAACAGGAGAAAAAAAAGGTGACTTTAAATAAAGCCCAAGAAAAAGTGAGCCCTTAAGGTAAGCTTTATACTAGAGGCAAGGGGCTAGTCCTGCTATTACAATGTATCAAACTGCAGACTTTAGTCAGGTCAGTGGGACTGCTGGTGGAATGCAGAATTGGCTCATTAATTGGCTCCAATAATTTCAGTTGAGTTACACCAGTATAGATTCTAAATCCACAGTAAGAGCACAATTTGGCCTCATCTCAAATTTATTAAGCAATTAAAAGAATGTATTTTAAAACACACAGAATATTCATCTAAAAGTTGCATGCTTATGCAGGAGACAGTATTATTCTACAGAAACAGAGAGGCCATTCTCAGGATGCTGATATAGGAAATATTCAAGGCAATAGTTAGATCCACTGGTGTAACTGTTTCTTCTGGCCATTTTCATATGTGTTTCCTTCTGCAGTCAAGACTAACTAGACAAATTTTGGAGTGCAGTTAAATTTGACAGTTTTTTTTTAAATCTGTCTAGCTACAGAAGCAAACGTTTTTATCCCCACATTTGAAGCATTAGAATTATTAATTCTAGTTTATAATTATTTTAAATTAAATACTTTTTCATTGGTAATAAATTTAACAACACTAATATTAATAACTTCCTCAAGAGAGATAATAATATTAACCACGCAGGTTTCAAAGAATCAGTAAGTCTAGGGTCTAAACTGTAAGTTTTCCCTTACAGATTTGAAAACCTCACTATGCCATATGGAAGCCACCTATTGTAAATAACGGGGAAGTTAAGACTTCACATACACTTTCAAGTCTGTTTATCTAGGTTTAGAATTTGGCACTGCTGCTACAGTGATTCTTTCAGTTTCTAGTATTTATCACCTGCTCCTGAACTAGCTAGCCTACTTCTAGTAATATAGTCCAAAGTGTTGATCTCCAACAGTGGATAACTGCATGGTATCTCAATGGCAACTGAAGTGTTTCAGCACAAGAAATCTGAAAAACTCTGCACCTTGAATTCACTAACTGTACACACTATGTGGGGACATAATACAACACCACATGAAGTACTGCTGTCAAAAATCCTTATATCACCACAGCAACACAGTAAGGCAGAAAACTGTTAAACATAGATTTACTGTGCTAAAGAACTATAAAGGCTCCTAATGTGTTCTCAGTTACCAATTCCTTGGTACAAAGATAATCCTCCAGTTGCGTCTTGTACAACAACAAGCATAGTCAGTACTTAAAAGTACAGTAAACTTCCGATAATCCGGCACCTTTAGGACCCAGGGGGTGCCGGATTATCAGATTTGCCGGACTATCGGAAGGGGGGGGCTATGAGGGGCCTAGGGTGGGGGGGATGCCATCCCAGACCCCTCATAGCCCCTCCTTCTGATAGTCAGGCTCTGCTCCAGGGGACCCCGATTCAGCCAATGCTGGTCAGTTTCAGCAGCGGCTTAATCGGGGACGCCTGCAGCAGAGCAGCTGGAGCGGCGGCGGGGTG